ATATTATATATACAACATTGTAGATACAAAGTGCTTTACATATTTAAGAAATGATACAAACAAATAAAAGAAAGGAAAAAAAGGCAGAATAATGGAAGACATAACATATTAGGTAAATAGTCAGTGTAATTTAAGACATCATATAAGCAGTATAATCTAAGACATCATAACATACTTTCTGTTTTTTAAGCACTGGGTTTGTAGTTTCCTAGTACTAGTCACTGGAACTGGTTTACGTGTAAGTAATTTCCATAATATAATAGCTGTGTAATATACTAACATTTGCTTTATAAGTCCCAGAAGGCAATTGCATTTCAGCACTATCTGTTGCATACAAACATACAGAATACAGATATAGGCAACATAATCTAAGACATCATAAATAGCCAGTGTAATTCAAGACATCACAGGCAGTATAATCTAAGACATCATAACGTACTTTCTATATAAAGTTTTCCTGAGTTTTCTCAGAATTCAGAGAACAAAGTCAGAATTCTCACAGAAAATTCTGCTCTGCGGCCCTGATCCTTTTCCGTATGAGTTCTATCTTAAAGGATAAAGTTTWAAAAAAGGGAAAGGACAAACCCAGAATGGACATAATACAGTACATGGACTTTATATTATGGACCAAATAACTTTTTTCCTCAGACATTTTTTAGAAAAATGCGAAGAATACGGGGAAACATGAAAATGTTTTTTTTGTTTTTGAAAAGCAGTCAGTTAAATCTGTAAAGTATTTTGTATACTATTCTACTTCATACTTTATCAGTTAAAGGGTTGTTTTTCTTTGTAACTAGATGGCCCTTGTAATTATTTTATTCTCTCTGTCTTTTTGTTCTTTTTTGTGTGTTATGTAAAATTTCAAAATGTTTAATACAGAGTTTTTAAAAGGATAAAAGCAAACTAGTTTTGCTGACACCATCTGCCTTAGCAAAGAAAAAGTGACTCCTATGGTCAAACTGCAGCTAAATTTGTTGATCTGTGGTGTTTGGGCAGGTGCATTGCATGCTGGGATTCAATGTGTGATGCTTTCAGTTGTCAGATAACCTGTCTCCACTGTCCTGCTGCATCAGGTGTGGTTCAGGCGGGGCGTGAACTCTCACAACCCCTGTGGTTCTGGTTGGATCAGCATGGTTGGGGAAATGATCACGGTCAACGTTGGACTAAATGACCAGGTGAACTGTGACAGCAGATGTGTATCAGGTGTATTTAACTGGAAGGAAGGGAAACAGAATGTCAAAACCACGCAAGGCTTTCAGTTCCTGGTGCTTTTATTATCAGGGCATATGACACCCCCTCTCTGTTGTGTTTAGGTGTGGGCTATTAGTTGTGAGGATCGGGCCGTATACTTCAGACAAGGTGTGACTACCAGTGAGCTGAGCGGTAAAACCTGGAAAGCCATCAGCGTTCCTCGAGATGGAGACCGTTCCCACTCCAGCGCCAGTGCCAACAGTGTGCAGAGGTGCAGAAGCCCGAATCAGCAAAATCACACAATTATATTTGAAAATGCATAAAACAGCTTTATCGCAAAAAAAAATACCCTTTCAGTGAAAATCTCTTCTTTTTCTTGGTGTCTTTCTTTCACAGTGCTGGTTGTTTTTTTTCTGGTGAGGTGCGGGATCAGCCAGGAGTCAGTGATGTAGAATCAGATGTAGAGAAAGGATCAGCTGATGGAGGCTTTGGGCTCATGACTTCGCCAGAATCCTTTGTAGAAACTAAACCCTCATCTGACCCACCTGTTGAGACTCCCAAACCGCGCATCCCCAAGGTCACAAGTGACAGCTTRATCTCTGAACTCGTCTCCGATCGGGAGCCGGGGAAGACCCCGAAGGGCGTGGAATCAACCAGTCCTGCTGTCTTGGAGGAGGAGGAGGAAGCCGTCCCTGGGGAAGGAGATGTCAAAGTCCTCTCTGCTGGTGGAGCTTGTTCTCCGAGCCAGAATGGTGGCGCTCCTGATCTCCAGTGGAGTAACGTAGATCTGGAGGAGGCGCAGGCTCATCAGACCGCGGCTGACTCCTGCAGTCTGTCATCTGTAGCCACCTACACCCTCGCAGCAGAAGACCCGTATGGGGCGGATGAGCATCCTCTGTGGGCATGGGTCAGCGGTGGAGGTTGTTCTGTGGATAGTCACACTCAACTCAACTGGTTTATCTGCCCTTTAAACACATCATGTAAGTTCAGTGAGGTACAGAGGGCTGCAGAAGGATGACAATCATTTCTTTTTCTTAAATAGATTTTCAGTTTGATTCTTTAATTTGAAACGCTTGTGTCTGTGAATCTTTTACGTCTTAACAGAGATTCAGTCTGACTGATCACTGGGCTTTGACTGGACCAATCAGGAACATTRAACTGGTTTCCTTTAACTAGTGGAGTGTTGCCTCAGCTGAGTGTTTAGGGTCTTTGTCCTGTTTRCATTCCAGTTTTAGATGTTTTCCTCCAAAATCTTGGCATTATCTATTCCCTGCCTATAAAAAAACTTCCCCAAATCATGATGGTGCCACTACTGTGCTTCACTGTTAGGATGGTGTTCTCAGCATGTTAATCAGCATGGACCATTTTTCAGATTTGTTAAATTATTCATAATATTTTCCCCATTTAAATTGATTAATTTGGAGGGGTTTCACTTCTAAAGGTACATTATTTATAATCAAATCTATTTTCAATTCCAGGTTGTAAAACAACAAAATAGAAGGAATAACATGGAGCAAAGACTTATGCAGCCCTTTAGAGCACATTATTTATTGACTTATAAACTATACTTTGCACAAAAAGTAAGGAAATTTGTGTTTCGTAGATTATTTCTTTGTTGTTGCAGTGCTTCTTGGCAATAAATCTTATTTTGAGCACCTGATTGGCAGCACCTTAAGGTACCAAATGTTGAAAACAAATAAGCTGTTTGGTAGAGGAAATTTGTCAAATGTTTCATGTGCACAACCCACATACTCAGTTCTGCTGCTCATCCCACAAATGCATGTTCCTTATAAATGTAGCACCATTTAAAAGGGACTTTCCAACYATATAAGATTTATTGCCAAGAAGCATTGTTACAACAAAGAAATAATCTACCAAGCACAAATTTCCTTAATTTTRGTGCTAAATTTATATTCTCTGTTCATACAGTAATGATGTAATTATTCTAAACATCAAAGCTATATCATAAAATGACACAAACTAGTATTTCCTCACCCGTCTTCCTGCAGCTCTGCTCCAGTCAGTCCAGTCCTTGAGTCTCTCTGTGACGCCGACCCAGACAGCAGCCTGGAGGAAACAAATCTTTGAGCAACTCAGTGAAAGATCCAAGAGAGAGTTGGATAACTTCAGACACTACGAGCAAGCCATCGAACAGGTAGAAGCAGTAGGGGAGCAAATTTGAGCTTTCAAACATTAGAGAGAATTCATCTTGGTCACTTAATGTTTTGGCAGTCGGTGTGGAAGAAGAAAGGAGCCATGCAGTGGTGGAGAGACTGGAAGCCCCACAAGTGGACTGACGTTCATTTCGCCTTGGAGCAGTTTTCAGGACCAGAGGGCTACAAAGACGGCATTTTATTCATCTACTACAATTATTACGAGGAGAAGAAGGTATATTTTATTTTTCCAACATTAACTCTGATGCTGCTTTTACAGCATGTTTCAGATCTACCCTCAATGTTCAGTCTGCATTCAACTCTTTCTTCTTTTTTTGTCTCTACTTTCTCTCCTGGCTGTCAGTATCTGCACGCCTTCATCAATGAAGTGACCATCCTGGTCCCAGTGTTAAATGACTCCAAACACACGTTTGCCATCTACACTCCCGAGCGCACCAAGCAGAGGTGGCCAATCAGACTGGCAGCTGCCACAGAGCTGGAAATGTATGACTGGGTGGGTATGAAGAGAAGACAATAAGTTTCACTGTCTGTATGCAAAAACACCACCTATAATGAGACTTTAATGTCAACTATTGCCACCATAATGTAATCAGGCATAAAATATTTATGTTTTTTGCAGTAGCACCATTTTTAGGAAAGCCTGATTTAACTCCAGAGATGGTTTATTTTTATTTTGTCCCCAGCTAGCTTTGCTGAGTGTGTCATGCTGCGACTCCAGGGGAATCCACGGCCCTCCAATCAAACAGGCCATCTGGTCCATCACCTGTAAAGGGGACATCTTTGTCAGCGAGCCCACTCCCGATCTGGAGGCCACTCCTTACCCCACCCCCTGCGATCAGATGTACGGATAACGGGCACGTCTCTGAGARTGTGAACATTTGTGTGTTTTCCAGCATTTATCCTTGAGACCATTGATGTATCATTGCAGGTTCTGGCGACAGGTCGGAGGACACCTGCGGCTGGTGGAGTGCAACAGCTTAGGGATAGTGTGGGGGATTGGTTACGACCACATTGCCTGGATTTACACCGGAGGTTATGGAGGGGGATTTTTCCAGGGACTCAGCAGCAGCACGGATAATATTTACACGCAGACTGATGTCAAGAATGTTTACATCTATGAGAACCAGAGGTGGAACCCTGTTACTGGTTACACCAGCAGGTACTGGGCTCACTATTTCTCCTTTAACTCTGCTACACTTTACTGGCTCTCTGTCCTACTTTAGCCTTTATAGGTCAGGCTTCTTTGTATATATCTGACCTTCTGCAACATCTTACACCATCCAAGTCTTTAGACCCTGTTCACACAGAGGCTAAAGTCTGTCCCTATAACTGAATTGTATTTGGAAGGCCAAAATGGGCCTTATTGTGCACTGAAAATGTTTTTAACCGGACCTCTTTCAAAGATGATCTGGACCCCTTTTATATGCATATGTTTGGTAGTCTGAACACAATCCATCCTGAGCTTTGATGTAGGACGTCCTGCTGAGTTGATGAGATCCCACACAAGCTTATTATTTTCTGGATGTCTCAGGGTAAAAAAGAAAAAAAACTCAGCTAATTTAAGATACAGTAGACCATTTATTTCCAAATCAAATGTGTTCTAGCAAGTGATTTGTATTTATCACAACACTTTCATGTCACAGGCATTTTAATTCGGGTGAATTGAACAACTCTGCGTTGTGGTTTTTAGTTTGTTCCCTCTGACTGTTTTACAGTTAGTTGGAATGGCTGTGGTCACTAGGGATGTCCCGATCCAGATTTTTTGGTTCCCGATACAATCAGATTTTTTTAATGATTAGTCTTTCCGATACTAATCCGATACCAATCCTATAGCTTTATTTTTTATTTCTTTCCAAATGACAAGGTTGGTAAACTACCAACCTTGGTAGTATTAAAGTGAGCCCTGCTGTTCCCACCACGAGAAACATCCAGTTTGCAGATTTTTGCAAGATGCAGTTTCAGCATCATTGTTTTCCATTGAAAAGTGTTCGCACACTGGACAAGGTTGCATACTTGTGTGCGTCTTGACTTTTTAATGGCAGTTGTAAAACATAATGATGCTGAAAACTGTTGCGAAAATTGGATCGGCCCGATCACATGACTAAATCTGATTCTGCCCGATTTTCAAAAAATGGCCATATCTGCCACCGATACCGATACTGAGTATCTGATCGGGACATCCCTAGTGGTCACTGGAACCTTTAAGATGTTGATCAATCAATGAACAACTGTTTGAGCAGCATTATTTCACATTATATTCACCTAATTAAAGACAGCACTGACATTACAAACAGTGAAACTGTGTGGAACAGTTAACAGCCAGAGTGCACAGTTTTACCCAAATTTAAAACTTAATGTGATTAATAATTTCATGTAATTTATGACCCACTTTGCTTCAGAGGACTTCCAACAGATCGCTACATGTGGAGTGATGCCTCTGGATTACATGAGTGCACAAAAATAAGCACAAAACCTCCATCACCTCATTGGACTTGGGTAAGCAGACCTACACACATACACCCCTTCTGTGGTAATCTGAAACCTCCTTCATCATTCAAGCATTATTTTGGTAATTACATGGAAACTGCAGGGGTTTATTCTGGTCAGAGTACGTGTGGGTAAACCTGCAGGTGCGTCCAAGTCTTTCGCTTCTCATCTCTGATGTTTCCAGGTGTCTGATTGGGCCGTGGACTTCAGCGTCTCTGGGGGAACAGATAGAGAAGGCTGGCAGTATGCTGCTGACTTTCCAGCGTAGGTTTCGCCATCCCTTGAACCCTCCAGCTGCATCAACTGACACAAACTAGGTTCAGTTTCTGTTCAAACTTCATTTATTTATTTGATCCTGGAATTCATTGTTTGTCTTCCTTCATGCAGGTCGTATCACAGCTATAAAACAATAAAGGATTTTGTTAGACGTCGGCGATGGGCCAGGTACTGTAAAAAGCAACCCAGGCAGAGTGGAGTTCACACTGATCCAAAAGAATCCATTAATCAAACTTGACTCCTTCTTTGTGTGTGTTATGTTTGTGTTTATCTGTAAATAGTATAGTAAAGTGAGTTGATTTTAAAATGAACTTTTTGACAAATTAGTTCATAGTAATTTAAATCTGTGTAAAATCTTTTGTTTTTGTTGCTTAGAAAGTGTAAATTAACCACAACAGGACCATGGCAAGAAATTCCACCCATCCCACTGAACGATGTGACGATCCTGCCGTGTTCAGCTCAGAGCAGCGTGGAGATGGTTCCTGTGTGGGCAATCAGCAACAAAGGAGACGTTCTCTGCCGACTGGGAGTCACCACACTGACACCAGCTGTGAGTCATTGTTAATATGCAAGCTGACACCGAGTAAACTGGTTTAGCATCTTTAGATGAGCCGGCCATAAAGGTTTCATTTTGTTTTTCCTGTTTATGTAACAATAACACTTATGTAATACTAATTGTGCGTTCACACCAAATGCGTTATGAGCGTCAGATTTACATGCAAAGTTTYTGGTGGACGCGCGTCGGGAAGTGCGGCAGCGCGTCTAGCACGTTTAGCGTGGCGCGTTTTGAGCGATTTAAGCGTTCGATGCACTTGACGTTCATCAGAGTTGGAAAATCTGAACTTTTGAAGCTCGATACAGCACGTCAACCAGTCAGAGAGACTCCACTGTGTGACGTAGTGACACATTTTCCGACGAGACACTAACCTGAGACAGATGGACAAGAGCTCTAGCTGAAATCGAGTGCCTGTAGTTGATGTCCTGACAAGGAGATATCAGCACCGATGCGGATCAGCAGCTCATCAAACTGGGCTCGGGAAAAAATAGTTCTGAAAGCGAGCCTTGTTAGCTCGAAGCTCCTGGGTGGTGAAAATCACCAAACTCAGATAGTCTCTGAATTTTCTGATGAATTAATTATGAATTAACTATCTCGTGAGCATGACATGCTTTTGCTCTCAGTAAATAAAGCAAAGCCATTCACCATTGTACAGAGACCGGCAAAGGAGGGGAAAAAAGTCTCTTGACGCGTTTAACGCTTGTCAAGCGTCTTAATAACAAGGTCTGTGCACAAGCATCCAACTTGAAGCGTTGGACGCGATTTTGATGCTCAAAACACGTTTGGTGTGAACGCACCATAACGCTGTGTTCAGTGAAGGTGGGGTGCTGTTGATCTCAACCAGTGATGCTGTCGGGAGGTGGAAGGAATACTTCTTGGACCTTCTCAATCCCACCATCCCTTCCATGGAGGTAGCAGAGTCTGAGGACTTCAGGGTTGTTTGTCCATAACTGGGGCTGAAGTCGCCGAGGTAGTTTAAAAGCGCCACCGTAGCAGGGCTCCGGGGGTGGACAAGATCCACCCTGATTTCCTCAAGGCTCTGGATGTTGTAGGGCTGTATTGGCTGACACACCTTTGCAACATTACATGGACATCGGGGGCAGTGCCACTGGATTGGTAGACTGGGGTGGTGGTTCCCTTCTTCAAAACGAGGGACTGGAGGGTGTGCTCCAATTATAGGGACATCACTCTGTGGAGAAACAAGTCAAACTGATGATCAAACCTCAGATTCAGGAGGAACAGTGCGGGTTCTATCCTGGCTGTGGACCCTCACTAGATTTCTTGAGGTGTCATGGGAGTTTGCTAATCCAGTCTACATGTGTTTTGTGGACCTGGACAAGGCTTTTAACTAGGGGTCGACCGATACATCGGCCGGCCAATATTTTTGGCCAATATTTGCGTTTTTTCCTTGTATCGGTATCGGCCGATACGCTGTCCGTTCGGCCGATCCATTCTTTGGGTCACGCGAGAGCACGTGTCTGCCCCCTTCCCCGGGGAGAGCGTGGCTGCTAATGTTGTGAGACAGAGTGCTAATAACAACAAGGATGAGTTATGAACTATAAATGTGTTTTAACTGTCTAATTTAGATGTTTCTACCCTCTGTGTCGGAATATGAGGGGAGAGAGAACAGCTGTGTTTTAAGTTTCTTTTCCGGACGGGAGCGCAGCGACATGTTTTACTTTCACTTTGAAGCCGCACTGTAATTAGCATGTCCACGTTGTTTTTCTTTTTAAAAATGCTGGAGCTGCTCACAGGAGGCATAGAAAACACCTCTATTGTTCTCCCTGCTGGATTAAAACAAAAACGCTTTCGGTCTTTTCTCGCTGTTACGTTTTAGCMAGCGCAACCGTCCACCATGTGAACCAGACGCTGCTCAGATCACGTTTGCTGTGACCGCAGTCGTGATGCTGGTTCTCTTCGGTGTACATTTCAAACTGTGATCTAAAGTTAACATCAGCTGTTTTTAAATGCATTTTTTGTCTGGTCTAAAAAACGGGCACAGACTGAGGCAGAGATGCTGTGAGTGTTGTGTGTGTGAAGTCCTCACAAAGATAGCAAGATGTATGTGTCTCTCCTTTTTCTCTGTTCCTCTAACAGTTTTATTTAGGCCTGTTGCCGTTTTTGCATCAAAAATGCTGGGATATTAAAACAGTCATTTTATGTAAAAACTGTATTAATCTTATTAATATACAAATAAAAACAGAATATTTAGCACTAGATAAAATAAATCATGAATTTATTTATTTTAAATTTTTTTAAGAAAGGGCTGAAAGAAGAAATCCTCTGTGGTAGCACTTAAAACAGCCTGCATCAGACAAGGCTTAGTTAATAAATGTTTTTTGTTTGTTTGTTTGTTTGTTTTGTGTTAAATTAAGACTTGTGTAACATTTGTTATCATTATTATTTTTATCATGTTAATGGAGGAAGAAAAAGTAGTTTCGGCTTCAAGAATCGGCCCCAAAAAAATCGGCTGCACGTACAGTGGTTTGCAAAAGTATTCATACCCCTTGAACTTTTCCATATTTTGTCACATTACAACCACAAACATAAATATATTTCACTGGAATTTAATG